GTTGTTGAGCTAAATCTGCGTTTAATGTCAACTAGCCCGGCATGGCATTGATGTAAAACTGAGAGGGCTTTTAAACCCAGCATGCATGAATCAGAAGTTGAGCTAAATCTAGATTTGATGCTAGACATTAGTTGGCGTAAGCATATTAAATTTCATGCCCAGGATGAAAATGAGTTAAATCTAGACTAGTTTTATGCCCGGTATGAAATCAATTTAAGAATTTCATACTTAGCAAGATTTTCCGTCAGCTTAACAACACGTACTAGATTTCCTGCCAGACAACGTTAGCACTCGATTGGTCCATGATTTTATGAATGTTAAGATGTTTAAGAGATAATCAGATGATCAGAAAAGCACCTAAGGAGGAAAATCAGTATAAGAAGAACTCTAACAATAAATACATTAGTCAGAGTCCTTCGTCGACTTTATTCCTAATCGAATATAAATTCGGAAATGTTTGTTTTTGAGGAAAGTGGAAAACGGGAATGGGCGGAGAAAAGAAGAGAAGCAACAACGAACGCAACCCATATATGGCGTCGACGCCTGGATTTGAACCGGGTCACAACTGGTGGGAGGCAAGTCCTCATCGCATCCCACTGCGCCATCACCCTTGCACCCCATTAGCTCCACCTAATTGGATACTTTTATGGCCTAATTAATCCATAAAACCAGTGCTAAAATTCGCATACGGATACACCCAGTTTTTTATACGTCCTTTCACACAAATGTGAGCTCCAATTATAGCCTTCTTTTCACTGTAAACGGGTTTTGGGCTTAAATGCTATGTTAACTTTGTAAATATTTAGGCAGCCCAGCGTAGGACGAGCTTTATAGTATCCTCGATCTCTAGGGATAAGTTATCCGTCGGCTTTTGTTAGAGAGACAAAATAAAAATATATTTCCATTTAATACAAGCACTGACTGGAAGACGTTACTTATATTAAAAGAAGACAACCCCTTTACTCAGAAGAGACATGTCTTCGCCTTCGTCCATGCTACACTCTCATTATAAAGTCAAACAAAAATTTTATGGTTACAGTTAACCGCCCACCGGACCAGGTTGTCGTTTGATTAGAAACATGGGCTTTTGCAAATCTACAGTTTTCAAATAAAGTTCAATTTGTTTTTGGCCACTCGTCGAGATCTAGACTACCGAAACTGCTCTGAACAATGCTGTTGACTCCATTAACTCGAACCCTCGCTTACTCGAACCTCGCGCCGACTCGAACTAAAACCCATTTCCCCTGGACTTTCTCCATATATTTACTTCAATTTTAACGTCGGTAACTCGAACCCTAGCTCGATAATTAGAACCTTCTGATAACTCGAATTAATTTTTGTTTCCCTTCAGATCACAGGGAAGTTTACCCTCGATAGCTCGAAACATGTTTTGAGCGCTTAACAAGTAAGGAAAAAAAAAACAGTGTGCTGCAGTCTGAATTTTCCATTGACGTGTTGCAAACATACAGTTGTTTGAGGAGGCTAGTGTTGATTCTTACAAATCTTTACTGTTCGATCGAAACAACAAACCACATGCTTGGCTCTACTTAAGGCCCTGTTTTCAGTTACGTTACGTCCTGATTTATAATCTAGAAGTATCGTTCAATTTTAGCTTGACATTCCCACAATTTAATGTACAAATCAGGGGCACCCAACGACGGTTTCCTCCTAAATGCATTGAAAACACTTTTTAGGCTATCTAGAGTACTTTTAGATCTCTAGAAATGCGTTCTAAGAGGCGCTTTAAAATTTGTATCTGTTCAGTCGTCCTTGGGCAATTTGAGTCTTTTCGAAATTACAAGGGCTTCGGTATTATTTTCCCGAAAATTTTAGATGCAATTTAAGTTTTACGAAATTGATATTTTTTCTGATTCTTCTCTCCGTCGCATTTTCGAATCCGAAAATTTTAGGTTTCCTTTTTCTACAAAAAATAGCCTAACTTGGGGATTAAAATGCGAAATTAAACTTTAAAAAAATCGTAGGAAATTTATTAGATATGCTACGAAAATTGTACATATTAAATGGAAAGGTCATCTAGAAATTTTTAGCCTTCCTAAAGCTATGGAAAATGTGTGCCCCTGACAAATGTTCCGTGTACAGTAAAAAACAATTTTTTTTTATTCTCCAGTTATTTGCCCCAAAATCTCTTTAACTCCGAACCTTTTCCGATTTCCCTTGAAGGTTCGAGTTATCGGGAGTCGACTGTAGTAATTTTTCCATGCTATACCGTATCCCTTGGTAATGAATATGTAAAATATGGCACTTGTCATATTTTTCGTTTACTTAACCAAGACCAAAATTTTCTTATGTACATGAACTTTACAAAATCTAATAAAGCTAATAACCACTCGCGAGTGAAAGAATACAAGTAGTTTCAAACATCGACAGGAAGCGATGGGGAGTCAATGGATTGTTTTTTTCGTGGTTGTATCTCTACAAAAGAAAAGATTATTTTGCATCCTTTTTGTCCGCAAATCCTATTAAGAAAAGAGAACGAGCAATCCTTTTTCTGCGAAAAAGGACTTAATACGAACATTGTTTTAATCCAAACGTCGTCGGTGCTGTAAGAAACTAACTGATTAACACTCACCGAACATGTCCTCTCTTGACATTTCGTACAAGGCGTTAGTTATAGGCAAAACATGATAGAAGAATTTTTCTCTGCATGACCCGCTGAATTTTTCCTGAGAAATAGAAGAGGATTTTAATATTCTGAATTTTTTATTTTATATCGTGAATTTCCATTTCGAAAGCTGCTTTAGCAAAGTGAATCTTCAGTTTGCATTCCCTCGATCTTCCTGAATCAGGGGCACCCTACGAGAATATAGTTCAAAACCACTTAAACATAGCGTTGTTGAACGTGTTTTAGTATTTAAACGGTAGATATAGGCATACTTTTATTCCCTAAAAATTCTTCATCTGTTCGGATTTCCGAGCTGAAAGTCTAGTGATCCGAAAATTGTAGGGATCAAAACTTACCTTTTTGAAAATTTCAGTCAGAAAAAAGGCTACCGAAAATTCTAGGTGAGCTTTTCACTGTAAAAATCCGTTAAAAATGGGCAATTATATTATACCCTTTTCTAGATGTTCGAAAATCCTAGGAGAGGCAGGCCAGCAAGAAATTTTACAACAAATGTTCCGAAAATTCTACATCTAAAATCGTGTTTCGAACAGGTATTTTCCAAAAATTGACTTTAGGTGACCCGGCTGAATTATTCTTGACTAACTTTTTTTTTCTTTTTTGCTTTTCATTTAGTGATTACATCAAGATTTGCAAGTTACTCGATCGATGTTATAAATGTTTTAATTTTCTACGAGAAACATTGTATAGATGAATTGTATGACTTTGTATTGTTATATTATTTTTCCAAATAACAGCGGCCACTCTTAGACTAAGTTTCTGAAGAGAGGTGTATTCAAAATTTCCCTGTGGAATAACTTGTGAATGATTTATTTCGGCAAACAACAGAAAGCTATAGATCTACTTAGTTTCGTTTGTTCCTTCTTGGTGACAACAAATGATAATTCAAGTATCTTGCTTCCTGTTCAGGAAGAAACTATATAAAGAACTCTTCGATCTTCGCCACTGAGTTCAAATAAAACATTTGAGTTTCAGTTATCCTGTTATTTAAGGGATTTACCACACTTTCTACTCCATTGTGAAATTAATTATCGAAAGGTAAATTAAGGTCCTAGTTCTTCTTTTAATTAATTAACGCTTCTTCTTGTTGTGACTCTTTTAATACCGTTCCGCCAGAATTTCATCTTTTTAAAGGGCATTAAGAAAAACACGCTATCGAACACAGTATTGTTTACCATCTTCATCGAACCACAACGTATAAACTAAGTGATAAACACTCTTAGAGGGAAAGGGTTATTTCGCTGATCTGTTTTTGAGACTTTTTACGGCAAGTGGCCTTTAAAATGAGCCTCTATATATATCACTCCGCTGTATTTAATAAAGAAAACAATTAAATTAAAGATCTTCCCCGTGATGTTATTGACAATATGTTTCAAAAAAAGTGAAAAATAGAAACTGCCTAAATGGTGCTTTAATTCAGCTTTTCTTACCAATCCTTAAACTACTCTCTCTGTTTATATTTTATAAATGCCGAGAAATATTCCATTCCGACCCGACATTAACTAAATATAAAGAGAAAATCACCCAGAAAATTCAATAGAAACATTTGAAGTCACTGAATCGTTCGTTGAAGTGAAGTTAATCTCGTTGTCTTTGTGTTTTACTGTCATATGACGATTTCCATGTCACCATTCAATCAAAGGGATAATTTCAAATTTCCCACCTCGAATATTTGTCCGATGCTTCTGTCCTACGCTAGTTGAACATGGCTACTCGTAAAAAAAAGCGATGAAGTTCTACCGATACAACTCAACTACCGACTCAGTGTAACTTTGGTAAAAAGGAAAACAAATTTTAGATATCTTCAAGAGGGACGATCAGTGTATCTTGCGGAGTAAACCGCTTAGAGATCAAAGTCTTATCTCGTTAACTCTTTCTGCAACAGAAAATGAAGATAAAAGACAATGTATTTTTCCCCCCACGCGAAAAAAAAAACTGGGATTTTGGCCCATTTACCTTAAAATACTGTCATCACGCCATAAGACTGCTTTGCTTTGCGTGTATAACTTCGTGTGGGTGAAAGATAGTGATTTCCTCTTGTCTGACAAGAATACGATTATGATAAATGTGCTTTTAATTTTTTTTTCTACACTCGAATGTTCAACCACAATATAGTAGCCACGGATAAAAAAAAACATGACATTTTCCTTCTTTCTATCGTTTCTTCCTTTTTACGTTTCTAACATTATATACTTCCGTGTGTTTGTCTTTAACCAAATCAACGTCATTTTTGTTAGCTTTTGGTTTTCGCTCACGTTCGGGTCTATTCTTTCGATCTCTTATTTGAGTTTATGATAATTTACTCAGTAATTCTCAGTTTTCACAAGGTTTCAGTGCATTTCCACTGAGAAAATTGTGGTCAAACGACAGTAGCGGCGGTTTGTAGTTGATAAGCTGAAGAACTTCCAGATGCCGATCGCCTGCGATGCGAGCGGTACCCGCCTTCCTTCTTTTGCCAAGAACTCTCTCTCCCATCTCCGTAAAGAGATGCAATAATCCTACGAAACGAGCGAACGAGGCTTTGGAATACTTCCCGGGGCCAACTGCAGGCTCTTGCAGTACTTTTACTAAACACCTCTCGGAAATCGTTACGAAGCCACCCATACAAAATCGGGTTTATCGCAGCGCTCGCATAACAAAGGAATACAAACGTATAATGCACTTCATAAGGTAACAAATGCCTTCCAAGGGAGTTTGTGATGATGACATAAATTACGTAAGGAAACCAGCATATGATGTAGACAGCAGCAATCTTGGCCAACGTTTTAGCTCCCTTGATGAGTGGACTGCGAACTCGCTCGTATTCCGCCAGCACTTGGTGCTCTAGGATCTTGATGGCTTGAATTCGGGCGATTCGGAAGATCAGTCCATAGAAAACAAAAACGAGCATCGCCGGTAACAACCAGTTTACACTCATGACGAAAAGAATGTATTCTACCTCAAAGGAAAAATTACAGAAATTGCCCGAAATACTTGTTGGAACACTCCGCCAGCCCATCAATGGCAAAAAACTAGTGATTCCTGAGTAGAGCCAAACCACTGTGATTGTTAATGCGATGTGGTTTTGGCTTACACGGTTCATGAAGAACGGGTATGCAATAGTAAGGTAGCGATAGATGCTGATGACCAGCAGGTTAAGCGACGAAGATGTTAAGGCTATAAGGTGAGTGGCGTATATCAATTCGCAAGTGACGAGACCGTGAATGAATTCTGATCTAATATGCAGTTCCACCTCAAGAGGCATCGAGATTCCCGTTAGCAGGAGACCAGAGACAACCAAACTCACCAGAAGGCCATTGACCTTCGTTCTCAGACGACGCTGCACGAGAAAGGCCAGCAGCACGGATAGATTTCCGACGGAACCGACAATGCAAATCAAAACACCGAGAACAGAGAAAAATTTATCAAGACCGGGATCCATCTTGTTTGACGTCCACTGATTTAAGAACGGGCGGCTAAAGTACAATTTCTCGATGTTTTGGTCAGCTAGGGAAATTGAATCATGAAGCCACGTTTAACTTGCTTGTCAAGACGGTCTCGGCCCACTCACCTCAACAAGGCGGTATACGTTCTGTAGACTTACTAAATACAGTAGTCAGATGACCAGCCTTCTTAATATTGCATAGACTCACCAGGTAAAACGAAAACAATAACGAAGATTGCAGCGAAGGAGGAGCTTGTAAATCGCAGTTTTTAAGCTAAAACGTTTCCCACAGCGATGTTTATTCAGCGTTCCACCTGGCGGGATACATTCAAACAATAAAGATGAAATCGTTTGCCTCGGGTCCATATATTTATCAAATCCCTTAATATGCTCTTTTAAAACTGTCTTTTACCACTGACAGGCACTTAGATAAAGGCCAATGAGACCTGAGACGAATGTTTACGCTCTTCCACCAATGCGCCAAAGATCTCAATTCTGATTCTGACGTCATCTGCCTTAAAGCTGTTTCCCTTGCGGTTCCGTGAAGAAATTGTCAAGAGTTCAATAAAAGCTAAATAAAATTTGCTTTTACGATTTCTTTCTATTTGAATAAAGAAAATTAAGTTAGCGAGGCATCGAGAAAACCAATTCGTAAAACCATTTTTTACGCCATTCGCTGTGATTTCTTTTTTGTTTGGATTATTTATATAGACATTAAGTGTAATTTAACCAACCCAATTTCGAATTCGAATTCAAATTCGCCTCGCACGTGTCTTATTGCTTTTTCTTCGCTCGATTACGTCGAAATGATGTTTCATTTAGGTTACATCAAGCTTTACGTGAAGTATGTTGTAGTCTTTATTTATGCTGTTTTGCATTCTTTTAAGTTGAGCAGTGTTGATTGTCATTCAGTTTGCTTTGAGGCGAATTTACTAGTTTTCTGTCCAAGATGAGTCGCGAACGAAAATGGATTCATATCCTAAAAAGGTTAAAGAATGCTGTTCGCTTGGAGTTAATTTTGGCATGTTTACAGGGAGAATGTTTAGACCACATGCACACCGTGTAACAGAAGAAATCGCATTTCCTGGTAGATATGCATATATCTGAAAAAAAGCGTGGGAGATCTATTCAACAGCCGCTGGGCACCTAGTGAAAAAAAGCCATTAAAAAAAATAGCAAGTTTGGATGACTAGTTTATCCTTCCAAAAGGCAAGGTCATCTATCTTACTGTACGTCTTAAGACACTCTACATGAATTTGTTCGCACTAAAAGGGTTTAGGTGTAGTTCTTTTGCACTCTGCAATAAATGACAAATTAAATTATAGCAGCCGGCTATCTTTCTTTCCCAAGTCACAAGACAATGGATTATCTCAAAATAGAACATTCAGTGAAGCTGCAAGGAAACATTAGTCAGGGGCAATCTTTCGCATTTTACAATATTATTACCACGCACTCTAGGTTATCGATTATTTCGCGATAAGTTTCTTTTAAGCATTCGCTTTAATTTCCAGTTTTATCTCAGAGCCAAAAGCAAAGCATCCTGTTTTAGCAAAGTGTCTCCATAGCCCCGCTCTTGCCATCGGCAAAGCGGTAGGAAATTAGCCTATATTGATATAAGTTTGACCGTTTCGCCTGGCAAACTGACCGGAGGCCTTCCATAGAAACAGCTTTTAAATTTCTCCACAAGACATGATCAAGTCATCTCATTTGATCCTAACACCCTGCAGAGCTGCCTTCCAAAATAAGCACTTTTTACACTTGCTTGTAGTTCGCCATTTTTCAATTATCCTAATTTTTATTCTGAATTTATTAAAGAGCTGAAGATCGTGCAGATGATCAGGACGTTGGATTGCAAACTCAGGGCCTATTTTCAGTCATAGTTTTCTTTCGTAAAAAACAATATTCTGGTTTTGGCCGTCAACCCAAGAATGTTTCCACTTCACGCAGTCTAGACCTGACGTTTAACTTCTATGAAATAAAATATCCAATCTACTTTTGATAGATTTTATCTCAAGTAAGCCAACTTATCAAAATATCACAAAAAAGCAAAACGACCCATTAAATTTTAAAAGCCATTAAGTTCACCGCACGTGGTACATCAGATTATATTTATGCCGGGAAACATACGCGCAGGTTTAAATTTGCCCCCTTAAGTAGGGCAGCAAAACATTTCTGTCACAAGAATAAAGGTTATTAATCGTTTTTTACATTTTTAGGCTTATTTTTTTTCCTCACATTTCCTAAAGTGAACTTCATCGCGCGATAAAGAAATATAGCTCAGTTACGTCCTTACCCGAGTTTATACACAACAACAATCGACTGACTGAACAACTCGGTGTAATCCAACATAATACCACTGCATGATGTTTATCTGAAGGGAGATTTTCCAAGTTTATGAAAACATGGAATAACAAAAATTTATCTACGAAAAGGAAAGCTTTTTCTAAGCAGTTTGAAAATGAGTTCAAGACTGAGCTATTTTTCCAGTTTAAGAAGATAATAAATCAGTGTCGCTTTTCGGGTTTAATCGACCCAAAGACAGTCGAGCAAAGAGACAGAAAATTTCCATCACCAAAGTGCGGGCTGGCAGGCCCCTATAATGACACTGTTCGTGATTTTGCATTGGTTATTGAGAGACGTACATATTTTCGTCATCTATTTGGTATACCTTTCACGGAGCCGATCGCGAATCAACCCTGCTTGAAATTTTGCTCAGGAATAATGAGTATTACAAAATCCCTGACATTATAGAAGGATGCTTGAGGCAATGTTTTCTTATTTTCCCGGCGAATGATCACAACAAGAAGTATTAAAAGAACAGTTCCAACTTTTTGCGTAAAGCAAGTTGTTGCCTAGCTAGTACCACCGCGTAAGATGTCCGAAAGCCGGACTTCCATGCCACAGAAAATCAAGGTCAGCTGGAAAGAAGATTGTGACTGTTTTACTAGTTTTATGGCTTTTTGTATGCAAAAATCTCAACAAGCAAATAAAAAGTGCGTGGCATGTATATTGCGTACAACGCTTAAGCGCTCTAAATTGTTGCCCTTTCTCTCGGGTTATCAAGTCGCCAAAACATTCCGGGTTTTTAGTGAATTACTCGCAGTCTCGCCATCATTGAAACCTGACCCCAGCTCCATTAAAACTGAAATAACATGTACATGTACCTATCAATGCAGGATACTTACACTGCAAGACGATTTAGTTTTATTTGCCTTAAGATCAAAACAATCAAACATTTTAAGTCCCTACTAATGTTCAGTGGCGACCACTGAGCACATACGGCGTAAATGGAAATTATTTAAATTCTAGATCATTCTACCTGCACTTATTTTATCATTTCGCTCTTGCCTTATCATACTTTCAGAACTGGAAATCACTAGAATCCTTCCTACGAAGATATCTTGGGGGCCGGCTTAAAACATAATTCAACAAGTCCAGCTCCTTTAATAGTGTTAGAAGAAAAACTAATGAAAGCTCTCTTAACATTACAATCCGTTTTTCGCTTTTCCCTTTCGAAGAAGGGAGCTAGCAGGAAGAGTTCAAATGAATGATGCATATATTCCGACTGACACAGAAAAATTCACGGATTTTCAAGGAAGACGCCCTTGCGCAGCGAAAACATTCCTCCGAATTTTCAGTTTTCCGTCCAATGGTGTTTCAACTGATGTTTAATTCTGTAAGTGTGGGGCAATTTACAAGATTTTAAACATTCAAGTAACTCCATTCAGTGGGATGCGAATCATGTTCGATTTCGCGTTGCTGCGTTCCAACTTGATGTGGGAAAATATGTTTTAATATTAATGCCGACCACTTAATCTCGTCGATCCAAAGCTTATCTTTCAAAAACCAACCAATTTTGCGAAGACTTCTTAGTAGTTGCCTGAGGCGGATGCTTTATTAAAACGAAATAGGAAGAAGTAACCGCCAAAAGTGATAACCCGAAAACTTTCCACTACAGAGACAAAATAACGGCAAATATTCAAACATTTCCATGATTTTAATTTCATATATTGACAGCAGATCACGCCGAATTAAATTAAGACAGTCGACACCCTCTTAAGTGGGGCGGGGAGGGGACGAAAATGCCCGAAAGCGGGAAACGACTGAAAGGTTCACCCGAAGCACCCGAAGGCACCCGAAGCACCCGAATTTGCCTGAAATTCATTTCTTAGCTCCGGTGCAAATATGGTGATTTTTTTGTTCGTGTCTGTGTGTTTTATTGACCTTTCTTTCTTTTCAAAAAAAAAATTCCACTTTTTTTGATCAATTATTTAAGTTCAAAGTGTCAATGATACAAAATCGATATTAAATTGCTATGATAAAATCTCCCGATGTTCCAGAAAGTGGAGATATAGTGTCGTACGATTAGATACCCAAATTTTGCGCTTATTCCATGACTAAAATTCATAAACTACTTAGTTAGCAAAACAATTATCTGTTTCTCCGAGGTATAACTGATTTAAGTTTGATAAGTGCGTCGTGGTTGTTTGTTGAACATTAGTTAGTAGAGTATCGCGGAGACTTTTGCCTTCACTTTGCTCAGTAACACTGGTAACAGTACTAAAACGTATCAAAAGCACCACATATTTCTACACTCCCATCGGTGACACCAAAGATAAGTGTTCGAAAGTTCTTTGAGCTGTTGTTTTCTTGCCCTAAAGTTACGTATCTTTTTATGACCCTTGTTGTCGGGAAGTTTACAAACCCTTGATTAATTTTTTGGTGACTAAGTTCCTCTTATCGTTGCCATCTGCTTCCAGATAGCTGCTGTTATTAAAGTATATGCTTCACATAGCAATAAAATCTCATTTGTTATCTCTTTTTCATTCCACCGCGGCAAATTTTTTATCAACTAACGTAAACTGGGCGATTTTTTTAATTACGCTGCAGTAATTAATTTAAGCAGGGTGGTCTTGATATTCAATTTATATGGCACAGTTTCAATGAATTCATATTCTGACGCTTTAGAAAAAGTTGATGTTGTCTGGACATATTTG